ATAATTGATTATAATAATGTTATCATAACAGATATGAGGTGGGGACATTTATGTTCCTAGATAAAATATTATGTCCACCATGGTGCTGAAAGCAGAATCTAGTTCTATTCATACATATCCCTTAGACTTTAATTAGAACTATATTCCAATGCATTAGGAGAGTCTAAAGATAATTTATATACATTCTAAGCGCTTCTTAAATACAATATTGTGACACACAATAACTCAAAAACTTTTAAACATATTAATCCTAATAATATTATTTTTTAATGTTCTATCAAAGTATTAAATAGTAAATTAAAATTAAAATTATATAAAAATAAATTTGTTGAATAATTTTTAAATTCCTAATATTATGTAAAACAATTTCATAAAAAAAATTGTGTTTACTCAAGTCATCTCAATTTCTTCGTTCCAATATTGTGTATTATAGCATAACTTGCCACTCTTCGCTAATTTTTTTAAACATTGACCCATTAGCGTAAAATATATTTTAGACCAATTTTGTAAAAAATACCCTTATATTAATGTTTATTTTACACATTGTTATTAATATTTAACATAAATAATTAATGTTATCACACTTTTTAGAAATTAAATAATTTTCATTTAGAATTTGAATCACTTATTTTCTTAAACCTATTTTTACATTGATTAGTCTAAACGACACATCTACATAAAATTTAAGTCAAATAATAAATTTATAAACTATACAGACTAAAATTAATTTAAAGAAAATAAATTTTAAAACACAAAATATATTTAAATTTGAATTTTTTTTTGTAAAATTAACAAGTTAAAAAATATATATATATAATTTATAAAACTTTACTCTTAAAGGAAGTGCTTCATCATATCAAATCTCATTAACTACATAATTTCCCCAATCACAAACATGCAAATATTATGTCATGTATATATATGATACATAATTTAAATGTGTTAGGGTCATTATTTATTAAGTCAAATAATAAAGTAATCTGACTAAATTAAAAAGTTTGACTAAAGATATATGTCATGAAAATAAAATTGTGTAGAGACCAAACAATTTTTAAATTGATGAGGGACTAAATTGAAAATGCTAAAACTTAAGTAATTAACTTAATTCTGGTTATTTAAAGGGTCATGGTCCCCTTCTGAGAGCACACACATAACGTAAGTCTCAGTCCCGTTCCTTTCTTTCTATCCCCATCAAGAGGGAAAATCCAGAGGAAAATACAGGTGCTCTTCAGGTGAAAAACCATAATATCAATAGTCCTCTATAAAGGATATCATCATTATGACTAATTTAGGTACAATTTCGCATTCAATTTACAACATGTTTATAAGTATGAGATAATATTTATATTTAATAGTTAGAATCAAAATTAGGATCATAATAATTATTAGTTTTTTATCATCATCATCTATAAAACTTTCATGGGACTAAAAAGACTTTTATAATATTATTTTGTTAATTGATGATTCTTGGTATTTTTACTCTTCAACAAGAAAATCATTAAAATTAAATTTGAAAATGGTATTCTAATCTTATTTTGTTTATTTGGAGTACAAGACAAGATAATCATGTTCTATTAAAGTATAAATAGTAAATTAAAATTGTATAAAAAGAAATTTATATGAATAACTTTTAAAGTCCTAATAATATTATTATTTATATATTACTTACACAAAACTTATAAACAAAATTTATATAATATTTTATAACTTACAAAATATATATATATATATATAAAAATAAATAATAAATAAATTATTAATTTTTAAATAATATGTTTATTCAAAGTTGTGTTAAATAAAACAATTTCATCTTAACAAAATTTTCAGTAACCGATGTCATCTCATATGTATGACTTCTACTGTGTTATCTTACACTACTTTAACATTGAGATAGTTCTTTCTTGAACAAGTTCAAATTAAAAAATAACTACATAAAAATAATTATGAATAGCACGATTTATTCAATATTGATTAAGAATCGTTATAAATTGCAAGCATAATTTATCCCTATTTGATATTTTTTTAAATTGATCCATTAACATAAATTTAAACATTCTTTTTAGCCAAATTTAGGAAAAATGTCCATATATTAATGTTTATTATTAAACATTGTTATTAATATTTTACATATGTTTTCACACTTTTATAGATAAGATGCGAGGAGTTTTTCAAATTTATAAACAACTCATCACACCCTTTTTATTTCATGATTTTTTAATTTTTTTTTAATCTTTGGGTTTTGAATAACATATTTTTTTAATTTTCTTTACTTTTACAAAGATAAAGAACAAATTTACATTTAAAACATAAAATGAATTAAGAGTTAAGTCAAATAATAAATTTATAAAACTATACAAACTAAAAAATAATTTAAATAAAATAAATTTTAAAACACAAAATACATTTAAATTTGCAAAAATAATTAATTTATAAAATTAATAAATTAAAATATAATTTAAAGGACTTTGTTATGAAAGAAGTTTTAGTACCTTCGTTAGCTAAGTGAATGTCCTAAGCGCAAATAGGTATACACACTCATTATTTCTTGTGTCTAATACTCTGTTTCATCTCATACGTGTCACTAAAAAGACTTTAACCAATATTATTTTATCCATGGTGATTCATTGTACTTTGACGGTTAAATAAGAAAATCATTAAAATTAAATTTGGTAATGGTTTTTTAATCTTATTTTGTTTATTTGTGTATAAGATAATCATGTTGTATTAAAGTGTAAAATGTAGATTAAAATTATATAAGAATAAGTTTATCTGAATAATTTTTAAATTTCTGATAATATTATTATTAATATATTACTTACACAATATTTATATAAAAAACTATATAATTTATAAAATATATATAAGAAAATAAATAACTTATTTATTTTTAAATAATATGTTTATTTAAAAATATTTTAAGTAACAATCTCATTTAAAAAAAATTACACTTAAGATGAGAGTCCTAATATCGTATTATCTTATACAAGTTTAATATTAAAATCGTTTTTTCTTGAACAAATTTAAATTAAAAAAATTACGTCCAATCATTCTATAGCACAATTTCATTACTGTTGTGTAATATATACAACTGTTAATTTTTTGAACCATGAGTGAAAATACATGTGAAGATAATATTATAAACACAATGTAAATTATTTATACATGAAAATAATATTATGAGCACATGTATCAATTAATGAACTAAAATATTTCAAATTTCTTCTTCTTTTATGATATTTCTATCAAACTCTTTATGAATATGTGGTGAAAACATTGTTATGAACACATTTAGAGCTACTAATATCTTTTTCAATTACTAACTTTTTGAAGCTAAGAAAATCCTATTTGATATATATTTAAAAAGTATTTATAAATGAAGACAATGTTATAATCATAATAAAAATCTTTCACAATTTTATGAACACAATGTAAATGATTCACCTGTGAAGATAATGTTGTAAACAAAGTAGAGATCAACTTGTAAATTTATTTTAAATTTTTTCTATGATACATTTGTCAAGTGTCTTTATCATGTGTTAATTTTTCAACCATCATTATCCAAATTTATAGTCACTTTTCACTATATTTAAAATCCTTAATATATTCATCACCTACTATATTTTTGAACTAGAGAGAGCTCTTCCAACCATATATAAAAATCATTTATATGTGAAAATAACATTATGAATACAATACAAATAATTTAAAATTCACATGTAAAGACAATGTTACTGACATATTGCAAATCAACTCATGGATTCATTTAAAATTTATACTTTGTGCTAAATTTTGTTTCTATCTTTAAGAATTTGTGCATCACATGTTAAATTTGTAATGATAATCACACACATTTACCATCATTAATTATATTTTTCATCACTATCAATTTTTTTAATTAGAAAATATATTTTTAACTATGTTTGGAATCTATTACTATCATGATGTGAATCAACCCAATTCATGTCAATTTATTCTTCCTCTTTGTAAAACTCTAGAAAGTTTGAATGTATTTTATAGCTCCATAGTACAAATCCCTGACAGTTTGTTAAGAAAAGAACAACGAAATTAGAAATATATAATCAATTCTTAAAATAATATAATTGATTATATTCATACAAATAAACAATTGTGATTTTCAAACATAGTAAATTAATTATGTCATTAAAAAATCAATTATATATTCATCTTTATATTTATTTTTTATATAATTGATAAAATTAGATTTATTATATTGATTAGTAAATTAAAATAATAAATTAAAAACAATTATGATGACAACCATTAATATTTTATAAATTATAAATTTTATAAAGTGCTATTAATAATAGTATTTCAATTTATTTCAACAAGTTTAACTTTTATAATTTGTTTTTTAACTTAAATACAATTTTAATTCTTTTTTCCAGTTTATATATCAACAAAATTAAATTTTAAAAACATTATTCATCCATATTTAATCATCATTAAAAACATTTTAATACTTGTTCAAACTAATTATTTCCTATAAAAAAATTGTCTCTGAAAAATTATCTAATTACTTATCTTTTAAATCAAACAAAATCTTTATTGGAACATAATTAACTAAGTTAATGCCTCAAAATCTTTATTGGGAGATGATTAACTAAGTCAATGCCATAAGTTTCATTATATAATATAGTTTTGTGTATAATAATACATTTAATATTCAATGTGGGATTGAAAAGGTTTTTCAATCATCAGTGAGACTACACGTTTTTTATTTCTATTTTTAACATTCAACTATATAAACATGTCACCTAATAAAAATAATCAGTGATGCAATCTTTTTAACAATTTTGCATTAAGACAAAATAAAATTACATCAGTGATAAAAGATAAAACAATAATATGAAAAATGTTTGCTCAATGATGATGGAAAATTTTCAAAAGAATCGATAGACAAATTGAGCTCGACTTCCAAAATTAATATTAAGATTAACTAACACCAACAATGGGAATGATTAATGTGGCATACACAACAACTATTTAATCTCTACGAGAACCTGAATTCCTCCTTGACTAACCGAAACATTGGAAAGCTTTAACTTGATAGCTTCAAACTCAGCATTTTCCATCTCCTGGCTAGACAACCACAGAGGTAAACAATGATCAATCAAGTCCTGTCCACAACTCAAGGGTGAACCTCCCTTAAAAATGCGGGTTCTCCCAAACCTTGTAATTGTTGCTAGATTAGAATCAGAAGGTTCTTCAGCATAGCATTCTAGTATCTCCCTGATGGCATTGCACCAGATAGGTCGAGCTACCTTAAGGAAATCATGCAATACTAGTACTGGAAGATTCACACTTCCCAGTTCAGATTCATTGTGCCCTCCTCTCCCATGATAGTCTGACCCTCCAATCTTTAAAAGCCCATAGGCATCAGCCAAGTCACTATATGCTGCAAACCAAGACCAAAAGTTAGCATGCAAGAGTTTAATATGATTTTGTTGTACTTGATGATATGATTCTCATCACACAATTGAGACATCCTGAAATGCAGTTGGTAAGAATCAACAGTAAATGAATGCTTGCAGTGTGCATATACAGTGTTTGTTTTATGCTTAGATGTGGATAACCTTCAGTTTGTCGGATAGACTACCATCAGAATCAATTTAATGTGTTGGTAACACCAAAGTTGACAGTGCTAATGAGTTTTTCTCTCCCAAAGAGGAATCAACTTTATGCTAGCTAATTCAGAATATCAAAACAGTGGAATAGGTAAAGGGGAAGGAGGGGTAGAAAATTTCTCTTTTGGCCTATATCTGAATAATCCTAAACTAGGCAATAACATCATTTTAATGATTAAGCAAATGAGAAAAATTTTCTACTGAGCATGTACCTGTCAACTTTCCATCACTTTTGTAGACCTCCATCCCATGAAGACCAGCTTCTTTTAACCTCCTGACGATGGGAACTGGATGTTTTAGTGCCCATGGATGAGCCAGAACAGCAACACCCCCAGTATGACAAATCATATTAATTGCTTCCTCTGCCAGAGGCTCACTTCCCCTGAAACACAATTTTCAAGTCCTTAACCATTTCTCCTAATTAAGCAAATAGTTACAACTTAGAAGAGCAAGAAATGCAATATTACGTGGAGTAAGCCGGTCCACCATCAAAAAGATACCGAGCAAAGGCTTGTCTGAGATTTTCTACATAACCTGCCTCAACCATGGCACGGGCAATATGAAGCCTCCCAGGGGCAACCCCCTTGCCAGCAATCCTGCAAACATGCTCCCATTTAAGAGGAAATTTGAGCTTGTTCAGTTTTAAGACAATGTTCTTTGCTCGAAGAAAACGTCCATCCCTTATATTTGATAGAAACTTGTCCAACTCCTCAAACCTTGATGGTCCAATACTGCTGTAATATGCTAAAATGTGAATAGGTTCCTCTACTTCAGAGTCTCCTCTGCCAGTGGATTTCCATATATTAGAAGAGATGTATACTAAGCTTTAATTGATTTTTGACAATTTAAGTTTATAAATTTCCTGCTTTCCATCTCTTTACAGAGAGTATATGAATATGTAATATTTAGAAATTAAAAATTACCTTGGAGAAAATATGGTACTAATTTCAACACCTGGGATAATCTTCATTCCATATTTACGAGCTGATTCTACAGCTTCAGGAATGCCTGCCATAGTGTCATGATCTGTCAGAGCAAGAACTTTCACCTGTTTTGAGTAAATAATATTAATTAAAAAGGAGTCTGCCACTAAAAGAGGAAACCCTATGAACAGCAACTGATACCTTAGACAATCCTCTTTTACTATCAAGGGTAAACAGGGATTTGAATTAACTGAAAAAACACAGTTCATAAACAAACTGAACTTGACCTTAAATTTCAGTTGACTTTCTATCAACCATATCATCTCTCGATTATCCTCATTAAATAAATGAAGGGATGTTTAGAAAACATATTGGATGAAAATGCACATATTTCAAGAAAATCTCAGATAATATATAAATACTAATCCATGGTCTGACTCTGATTCTTTGGTTTGGGGATATTACAAAAAATGAAAAGTTAGTGCAAAAGACAACAAGAGAGAACAACCTAATTCTCATCTGTCAGGAATAAAACAAACTCACATATTCATCTGACATCATTCTAATATATAATCTCGATTCAGATTAAGAATAATATCTAACTTGGAAAAAATATATCTAGTAGGAAGATAACCGACTCCAGACAGTTTCCAATCACCCACAAACAAAGTAGTATCAAATAAAAAACACAACTTTAAATGGTTGAAACTTACGCCGTTGATGTGAGCTCTCTCAACAACCTTGGAAGGGGAGAAGAAGCCATCACTAAATTTGGAGTGCGAATGCAATTCAAAGAGGAGTTTCTCCCCACCTCTCCCCACAGGCTTCTGCACCCCAAAATCATCCACAACACAGGAAGCAGCAGAAGGCGACGACGAAGAAGAAGATGATGAACCAGAAGAGTGATCCAAGAAAACCCACTCACTGACAAACTTGAAGGCGAGAACCTGGTCGTGGGTCATCTTCTTCTTGGTGCCACCCCTGTTTTTCTTCTTCTTGTTCTTCTTTTTGTTGGAACTGGGAGTGGCCTGAACCACGCACCCATCTCCCATTAGTGGCAGTGGGAGAAGAAAAGAGACAATTTTGAAGGAAAATTTGGCTTCTTTGTTAGGCCATGAGGGTGGGATAGTTAATTGTTAGGGTACATCTCATAAAAAGTAAAAGAACGAGTGGAGAGAGAGAAAAGGGTGTGGAGGCTATGTAAGTGCGAAAGATGCAGAGAGGGCAGGGGTTACTTACCCTTAAACCGAAGGGCAGTTTTCAGGTCACAGGTGTCCTCATCCTTAGCCCTTTGGTGTCTATGCTCAGACAGGTGTACCCCAATAGTCATACTCTGCTTTTTGCCCTATACCCACGGTTATTCTATTAATAAATATATATTTTGCATTTTACAATTTATTATTAAAGTAAAAAAATATTATTTAGACTACGAAGAATATATTAAAAGTATCCCTTTATCATTAATTATAATTAGTAAAAATAATCTTTTTATAATCATAAATAATATAATCAAAATTTAAAACTATTTTATTAAAACTGTTAGTACTAATTATATTAATATTAAATAGTCAATTTGAAATCAAATTATAAGTTATAAATTTTAATAATTAATATAGTATTAAATTATATAACAGTAATTATAACGCTTGTTACATTTAAGGTTAAATAATTTTTAAAAATATTTTGAGAATGAAATACAAATTATTTAAGTTCTAGTCCTTAATATTTTTATAATTAATTTAATTTGTTAGTTCATACTTGGGACCCAAATTTATACCAAAACAGTATATTTTATAAGCAAAAAAAAAAAAAAGTTGTGAAAGCCTGTGCACCAGGTTGAATTAGTGGATGTACTTGGTGAGCAGCATCTTGAATTCAGTACATTTCACTGAAAATAAATAAAAAAATTAATGTTAATTTTTATTATTCAGTATTCCAGAAACTTAATTTTAATAGCTCTATCTGCAATTATTATATACTAGTATTTTAACTTTTATGATTTTTTAAATGTGAATAAAATAAAAAATTATATAGTTCAAACTTGTATTAAATTAACTAGAAAATTTTAATTAAATGTATTAAATTAAAAACATGCATAGATAATTTTTGAAATTTAAACAATTTTTTTAAAACTTATGTGAGTAACTTATGCAGTTTTAAAATTCAAGAAGAGGACTAAACTGATTTAAAATTCAAGAAGAGGACTAAACTGATTTAAAATTCTTGATTAATCTTTATTTTTTATAATATAGTGAAAGTACTAGTTCTTAATTACAGAAAAACTACACTTAGTTTTGTCTACCCTAAGTTTATGCCTAGTAAAATATTTTTTAAGTCAATACTGTAATATAATTTCATAAAAAATAAAATAAAAAATCAGAAGAGTATATATATTTTCTATACAATAAATATTTACTATAGTTAATTTTTATATTTTATTAATTGTTCTATTAAATTTTTAATTATTTTTATTAAAAAATGATTAATTTTATATTATATAAATCATTAAATAATATATTCAATCATATTTATGATTTAAATTTCATCAAATAATGTCATTATAAATAACTCATCACATATTATTAAAATTTATTATGAAAAACTTTATTAACCTAATAATTTAATTATATACATCTACTATTAATTATGATGGTATATAAAAATGGAACTTTTTACAAATTTAAATTACATACATTAATATACACATAATTTAATAATCCAAGTAATATAAAATTAATTATTTTTTAATAATTATAATTAAAAAATTAATGAAATAATTTATATTATATAAAAAATAAATATAAATATTTTAATTATATTAAATATAAATATTTATTTATTATAGATACTATATGAAAAACATTTATTTAAAAAAAAAAGAAAAAAACTATACAACTTGTATCATATACTTTTGCAACTTGTGTGTCTCAAGTTAGTTTAAACAAATATATGTACTTTACCCTATAAAAGTAAAATACAAAACCTGGTTATTTTGCAGCTTTTTATTATTTGTTTGAAGGCTGATGCATGTTAGTGGCAACCCAGTGTAATGATTTTGACTGCAACAACTCAACTTTTGAAATTGTATGGCCATGGTTTTTCTCACTGAATCCGCTTACCATGTTCAGGTTTCTCGTAACTTTTTCTTAAACTATGTAGGATATTTGTATTCATTATGATTTGTAGATTACTCAATAATATTTTTAACATTACTAATATTTTTAAGTAATTCGATGTTCAAAAGTCTTTGGCATGTTACAATATGTTGGTGTCTTTTGCTCTTCTTTCTATTTAACTTTCCATTAATATTTTTCAGCATTCTCAGTTTTGTACACTGAAGCCCTTCCTCCTCTTTTATCTTTCCTTTCTTTTCTTCAAAAGAAGTCATTTGTTCTTTGTCTCTCATCTCAACAAAGTTGCCCTTCCTTTATTTGACCAAAATTCTGCACAATGCCAGGGTCAACCAAGTGCATGCAGAATATAAGTGTTATCTCTATTATCAATCATTATACTGTTGATTTTTGTATGTATGACTAGAAACATTGATGTTTGAAAAATAATATTATAATATTAATGACTTAAATTCTATTAATAACTTATAATATATATATATATATATATATATGTATATATATATATATATATATATATATATATATTGTATATATCTTCTTGATTAAATTCACTAGTCGTGTTAACTCTTCACGTCAAATTCTAACAGTGTCTTATATGAATTAAACCTGTTAACCCATTTTCTAAAAACTTAACATGAAGAATAATAATAAATTTTTTTATAAAACAGATATTTAGTTAATCATAATTCATTAATATTTATAAATTTTTATTTTTGTGGTGATCCATTAATTTAAAATATATAATATAATATAATAATATGAAGGTAAAAATTATAATAAATTTTATAGATTTAAGTTATATATTTATTTATTTTTAATATGATACACATGATATTATAAAATATTCTTTGCTTGGTTGACTTATCACTCAAACTCTAATTCAGTCATTATTAGATTATTTTAATATTCAGTTCTACTGCATGAATATATTGAAGATTTCACATTAAATTAATTTATAAAATATTATAAGTTAATTTTATAAAAATAAATTAGATATTTTTTATTCTAATATAACTTTTAAAAGTATAATATATTGTAATTAGTTTAAGCTAAGCATGCTCGATTTCTGTGTTGTTCATTTTTCTTGATGGTAGAAAGAACAATTTCTTTATCAAGCTCAAAAAGTCTCAGAAGTAGGAAAATAACAAGTACAACAAATAACCCCAGGATCATGTAAAACAGATTTACTCGATCACGTGCTCTGCCATGGACTGGATCTGAATCCATGCTCCTGTTAATTAATACATGCGCGTGACATGGTATGCCCGAGGTCTAATTTATATGTGCGAACCGTTGGAAACTTTGAAGACGTGACAGTGGTCTTCTGCAAGCATATTTTCCATATTATATATACCTTGGACAACTCCCTCGTGCAAGCATAAAATATCCATAATCATAATAAAGCTGAGACCTGTGACGTACCATGTTACCATGAAGAGTACTCTGAATCAGATCTCTATAACATGTCAATACTCAATGTGTAGAAGACACCAAGCATACGCATCATTGGACAACATATGGGTTGCAAGCTGCATGCAAAGCACAGAGAGACAGATAAGCCTCGCCAGGACCACAGAGTTACCATTGAGTGCAAATCCTCTCTAAATTTGGCGTCTAATGTATGTCAGAGTGTTTGCATGCAGACACTATACATTGGTAACAGATCTAGATTTAGGTGAAGATATGGTGAGTAATTATTATAGATATTTATAAAGAAAGTTGAAAATGTTATTTTGATATGAATTTTTTACATACCTAAGTTCTTACATAATTTGCTATACTCTTAAAAGATGACGATGGGTAGGCTTCAATTTTGAGATTGTGACTTTGGAACACTGGTCAATGTACAAATCATTCAGAGCCACTTTACTGATTTTGATTCCGAGCTGAAGTGTTTTTTAACCAATTTTATGAGGTTATATAAAATTTATAATATCTTAATGTCTCCTTTTTTTATTATTTCTTTTTGACTTTTTTAAAAATATTACATTATCTCTTTTAGTTGTTTGAAAACTATCACATTGTTTAATTTTATAAAAAATGTTATTGTAAATGTTTAGAATAGGTATAAAATTTACTGTAAAAACAACCATACTATAATTTATTGTTAATTTGATGGAGATCTATAACAATTTATGGTAAAACTAACTTAAAATACATAAATGAAAAACAACTCTTATTTTATAAGTTGAATTTATGAAATTAAATTAGGTTTTTAACTATATATTATAAGATAGAATTAAAATTATATTAATAGATGTTGTTAAATTTATCAAACTGACTTACTGTTATACTAACTTATTTATATTTAATTCTCATAAATTTAATTGAGATGTTAAAAGAAAATTAAAAAAAATACGATGAAACTAAAATATACTAACAACATTCACCTCAGAAACCGTTTTTTTTTTCTTTTTTATAATTATAACATACACTTGAAATAAAAAAAAATTAATAGGAAATCAAAATAAGTTTAGTACAATAGACTAGTAAAAAAGATCCCAAAAATAAGTCATGATAGGTTAGATTTTAAAATTTGTGACTTAAATTAAATTAGGTTTATTTTTTGTCCAACCCGTTTAGACTATGACTTACAATAATAATATTTTAAAATAAAAAATAATAATAATATCATTTTTTAAAAAAATTATATTATAAAATAATTTATTAAGAGATTTACTTATTCTAAGATTAAATATAAGAAAAAATATATAATATTAGATGAATTATTATTTTATATTAATAAATCACTAAAAAAAATATGAATTAGACGTCTCACGTTGCCTGTTACGTATCATATAATATGGTTTAAATATTTATTAGATTACTTCACATACCACCAATTGATTTAATGTCAAAATCTTAATTTTAACTCTTATTTTAGAAATAGATGAATCTCTTCTAATTTAATTTTTTAAAATATATTTTTAATATTTATTTAAATATCTTTAATATATAAGCACGTTAATAATTTTTTTAATTTTCAATCAGATCAAAATTTGATCTGTTAGTTCGTTGACTGAATATAAGATCAGATTAAACAAAAAATTAAAATTCATTTAAAAATATAGATTAAGTTAAATCATCAAAGTTTTTTATGTAATTTTGATGAAATATGATTCGGAAAAAAAATAAAAATAGAGAATAAAATTAATTTATGTAATTTATAACACGAGAAAAAGAAAATAAAAAAATAAGTTCTACATCATAATTTTATTTAATTTCTCTTAATTAAATATTTTTTATTTTTATTCTATTTTATATTTTTTATCATTTTACTTATATCAATATAAAAGTTTTTAAGAATAATTTAGTATGTTCATAAATAAGTTAGGATCAAGATTATTAATAAAAATTAAATAAATATAAAAAAATATGAAATAAATAAAAAACCCACAATTACAAGTATATAATAATTTAATCATTATTATATTTAGAGTAAAATTCATTAATAAATGGAAATACAAAAAATAGAAAAAGAGATAATCTCACCATTTAATAAGTCATGTAAGCTGATAGGGATGTCAATTAAACTTGTACTCACAGGGACCGATCCGTTCTTATCTTAAGTTTGATAGAGAAAAATCGAGTTGATCGGGGACGGGGTGGGGATGAATAATGCAATTCCTCCAGACTTTATATTTAAATTTAAATTTAAAAAATATTTCATTTTTTATTATATATAAGATCATTTTTTTTATATTTACCATTTTTACTTTTCTTCTACCTACATTTTAATTCTTTTGTCTTTTTTAATCTTTTATATCAATTAGTTTATTATATTATTCTCTTTCTCTTATCTTTCAGTTTTTCACATTTCCTTAATCTCTCCAATTAGTTTTTTTTTCAATCTTTTTAGTCAATTTGATGAACATAAAGTTAATTTTTTTCTTTATTTTTTTTAAATATTTTATATAAATCTTTGTAGTAACTAATATTATTTTATTTATAATTTATATTTATTAGATTTTATTATGTCATATTTTTTGGATATTATTATTCTTATTTGTTATATATCAAATTTTATCTTAATTAAATAATTATTCTTATTTTAAAGAATTAAAAAGAATTGATAATTTAAACTTTTATTACTTCAAACTAATTAAATAAAAATTAACTTATTAAATATTTCTTTATAAACTATATATTTCATATTTTTAAATGACAACTTAAAAATGAATTAGTTTTTATATGTAATAAATATTTGAATAAAGTATAATAATAATAATAATATTATTATTATTATTATAAATATTTTATATATATAAGGATTAAATATTTTTTTTACATACATATTTTAATATAAATATAATAAATTAAAAAATATATTTAATTAATAATAATTACAAATTATAAATATTTATTTATATAAAAAAATAAATACATAAAAATAATAAAAATAATATATTATAAATATAATTATTTTTTTAAAAATAATAAAGATCATATAGATGATGACGAAAATAAAAAAATTCAAAATTCAATAAAAATTAAAATAGAAACTTAATTTTTAATTTGAACGAAAATAAAAAATAAAGACAAAGACAACTAAAAAAAAGAGAATCGAGATCAGCGAGATAAAACCGGTCCATTCGCATGCCTAGTTGGTAAAGAACATTTTAGTGTCCCATGGGTTAAAACTTAAAACCTGCAGGTGTCCAAAGACACGGGAGTAGAACACTCATGCAAGTTCTTTGGAGTCACCTCACAAATAAAGGAGTTAGTTGCTTGTGCTACGACCATTTTTTAAGTCTGACTCTTCAGCATTTTTTAAGTCTAATTCTTCAGCATTTTTCATGTTCAAGTGTTTATGCATATGTGGCAATTGTTATTGAATATAATATTATATTTCAAACCCTACTTAAAAAGCACCTCTTTCACACCAAGTGTGTAAGCATGACATACCACTGTAAAATTATTTAAAACTATTTCAATTTAAAATACATTTTAATCTTATACTAATCAATTTTATGCATTTAATTATTTTAACAAGTATTTTAATGTCACATCAATATTTTTAGTTTTAAAATAGATGAGAAAAAGAAAAAAATAGTTAATAAACCCGGTAAACTTCGATGATTATATATATATATATATATATATATATATATATATATATATATACCATTTATTTTTAAAATAAATATTAAAAAATAATTCTATATTTATACAATCTATTATCTTTTATTATATAATTAATGATTATGAAACTATTATATTAGATCATTAAATGATAAATAAATTAATAGTAATAATAAAAACTAATTTTCTTAAATTATTTTAGTAAATAGATCTTATTTATTTATGTATACATAATTATTTTTTAAAAGAAAACTTACAACATATTATTTAGAAATTCATGTTTGATGTTAACTAAAATTAATTAAGAAAAATTTATAACTCAATATCTTTCTTTAAGATAATTATGTACTTATATAAGATAAGATAAGATATATGTATGAATGTGAAGGGAAGATATATGTATCAATATGAAAGGATTACTGATAAATCTTTTTTTTTTCAAGATAATTATGTATTTACAAAATATTTTCTCAATTCATCTTAAAGATTTTCATTCTTGAACAAAAATTAGATACACTTTTTGGACTATCTTCGGATCCTGTACAAGAAGAGCTTGAAGAGGAGTCAATGCAATTCAACGACCTAGATCACGGAGTCGAAGTTTAGAAGATCACATCTCCAAACGACTCATGATGCTCCAAGGCACTCTAGACATGGAAAACTTAAATATGAAGACCTGGAGTTATATTTTTTGAAGAAAGACTTGGAACCTCTCGCTAAGCAATCATTTTGTATTTTTTGCAAGACTGTTTTATTTTATTTTATTTTGTGAGACTACATTTTTATTTTGTGGATTGATGGGCTGCTGAGCAAAAGTTTAGGCAGAAAACCTAAAAACGCAGCTCACCTATTATGTATATGGGAAACCTAATTGTAGGGGAGAGTTTTGATTTTGGAAAAAAATTAATGAAATTTCAGGTTTGAGAAGAGAGGATTCTCTTGGTTCTTAGCATAGAACTCGAATTCTTATCAAAGTTTCCATCTTTGTGACGATTCTTCCTTGACTTATCAGTTACCCGTGACTGTGGCGTCTTCCCCCATTCCTGGCTATTCCGCTTTCTTCTTGATTTCCCTTGTTATGTTTTTATTAACATTGTTTATGGTTGAACGCAGCTCCGGAATCGATCCAAAAATAAAAACCCTTTCCTGGATAGGATCGTATCCTCTGGTATCAAGAGCAAGGGTTCCAGTTTTGTGTTCTTCCACAGTGGTTCATGTGCGTTTTGGGTAACTTTTCAAAAACCCAAACTTTGTGGACTCTATGTTAGCGTTTAAAAATTATGTTCGGTGAATGTTGTTCCTTGTGTTGTGTGGATTAAAACCCTGCAAGTTTTAATTCTTTTCATGGAGTTTTCCTGCACTGTGTATTCTTGGTGTTCGTCATTTAAATTTTTGTTTTTGTGCAATTGATTCGTGCAAAAACTGTTGTTTTTGTCTTCTGTGTTCGGGTTGTGTCATCCATTTATTTTTTGCTAATATGTGCTTCCTTTCAAGTTTTGGATGTGAAATTGCAAATCTCTGGGTTTCGGGGTTTTAAGCGTCGCGTTGTTCGGATTTCTGTTGCGACATTTTTTGCCCAACCACCATCTTGGTAGCTAGCGACTATAGAAATTATACTGCAATAAATTTGATTTTCTGGTTTGTTTGAACATAATTTGAGAGAAGAAAAATAGTATATGGATTTAATATAGAAGAATAGAAAGAAAATACAAAGAAAAGAATACAAAGAAATACAAAAGAAAAAGAAATAAAAATACAAAAGAAAAGAATATACAAAAGAAAGGAATTCAGTCTTTGTGAGCATACTCTCTTTCTGCTGATTGTTTATTTGTTGTTTTGGTTGCATTCACCCAAATTTCTATTGTCTTCTTTTTGTCTTGTTAAACCCTTTGTTGGCACATTTTCTTCTAGCTTTGTTAATTGTCTTTCACACTCCTATTTGAGTTTTGTCTAGAGTCTCATGTTGTTTTTGGCCTCTTGAGTCAAGCTTAGATTTCGTGTCCTTTTTCACATTGTTGTTTCTTTGCTTAAGTGTTGAGTTCTTTGTTAAGGACCGAGGAGAATTGAGTGTAAACACTTGGTGAGTGGAGAGGAACAATATTCTAATTTTGCTAACCTTTTATTGTAGGAATGGCTTCCCCAACCTAAACTAGCGAACCACCATCACCCAAGACAGCTGGCATCATGGCGGCCCTGGAGCAACTTACAAGGCAAATGGCACAAATGCAACAAGATAACCAAGTCCGCTTTGAAGGGCTGCAGAAAACCAATGAGGAAGTAAGTGAGAGATTAGAGGTAATGGAAAGGAGAAGAAGAGGCCAAGATTCAAGCACTCATACTACGGAAGTGAAGGGGCAGGAGATTATGAGAGACCAAGAGGAAGGAGGAATCATGAGGATCATACACCAAGGAAGGCGGACCAAGTTTTAAAGAAGGTTAAGATTCCGAAGTTCATAGGAGCCAATGATCCGGAAGCTTACTTAGCGTGGGAGATGAAGCTGGACCAAATTTTTACATAAATTGAGTATAGGGATGATGACAAGGTTTTGTTGGCATCCTTGGAGTTTGAAGGCTATGCAATGAAATTTGTGGAACCAAATCACCATTGATATAGCAAGGAGAAGGAGAATGTCTATTTCTACATGGGGAGAGTTGAAGGAGGCTATGAGAGAAAGATTTGTGCCACCCTACTACAAGAAAGACTTGTTCCACAAATTACAAAGACTCACCCAAAGTAATAAGAGTGTGAAGGAGTACGTCCAAGAGATGGAGGTTACCTTGATGAAGGAGGAGGTAGAGGAAGCACCCATGGCCACCATGGCAAGATTCTTGAATGGGTTGAATAGGAAGATTCAAGATGTGGTGGAGCCATCACTTTAACACCTTGGAAGATCTCATTCATCAAGCTACTAAGGTAGAACAACAACTTAAAAGGAGGAGCTCATACAAGAAACCCACTCATGCTTCAACCTCTTGGAGGGATAAGGAGAAATTCAAGAAGGAGGGAGCTACGTCCACCAAGCCTAAGGAGAAGGAGTCTCCAAGTGGTAAAAATAATTATGAACCTACTTCTTCCACTTCACACAGTAGTTCTATTAAATGCTTTAAGTGTTTAGGAAAGGGGCATATTGTATCACAATATTCCAATAGGAGAACCATGATGTTGTTGGAGTGTGGAGAGACAATTAGTGAGTCATCCTCTAGGGACGAGCATTCATCTAGTGAGAAAGAGGAAGAGTGTAAGGTACCACCATTGAAGGGAGATCTCTTGATGGTGAGGAGGTTGATGGGCAGTGTGAGTAGAGATGAGGATGAAACCTAAAAAAGAAATATTTTCCATTCTAGATGCTTAGTTGGGGGGAAGGTGTACTCACTCATCATTAATGGAGGTAGTTGCATAAATGTGACGAGTAAGAAGTTGGTGTAGAAGCTAGGATTGGAAACCATTATACACCCTAGTCCTTATTCTTTGCAATGGTTGAGTGAGGATGGAGAGTTGGTGGTGGATAAGCAAGTGGTGATAGCTTCTATAGGGAAATATGTAGATGAGATTATGTGTGATGTGGTCCCTATGGAATCATATTGTTAGGAAGACCGTCGCAATATGATACGAGGGTTAGTCATGATGGTCTTACTAACAAGTATTCTTTTGTGTATAAAGGGCAAAAGGTGTCCTTAACACCTTTATCACCTAGTGAGGTATGTAAAGATCAAATAAATATGAGGTTAAAAAGAGAACAAGAGAGAAAAGAGGAGAGAAAAACCAAGAAAGAGGCCAGAAAAAGGAAAAGAGAGCTGAAAAATCCAAGAGTGGGAAAAGCCTTTTCTTAAGAGAAAAAGATATTAGTAGAGTGGTGGTTGCCAAGCAACCTTTGTATTTACTAACGCCTAACAATCTTTGTTTGTCTTCTTTGGAAGTTGATTTGCCTTTAAGTGTGGAGCAATTACTCAAGGAGCATGAGGATGTTTTTCCTCAAGACATTCCTTATGACTTACCACCAAAGAGAGGAGTGGAGCACAACATGGATCTAATTCCGGGAGCTTCCCTTCCTAATAGGTCAGCCTATAGGAGCAACTTGGAGGAGACCAAAGAGATCCAAAGACAAGTGGAGAGCTTAATGGAGAAGGGATGGGTGCGAGAGAGCTTAAGTCTGTGTGCTATGTCAGTCATCTTGGTGCCAAAGAAGGATGGAACGTGGAGGATGTGCACCGACTGTCGGGCCATCAACAACATCACCATAAGGTACCGACATCCAATCCTTAGACTTATTGACTTGCTTGATGAGATGCATGGTGCATGTTATTTTTCCAAAATTGATTTGAAAAGTGGTTCTCACCAAATTAGGGTGCGGGAAGGGGATGAAAGGAAAAATGCTTTCAAAACCAAATTTGGGTTGTATGAATGGTTGGTGATGCCTTTTGGGCTAACCAATGCACCGAGCACCTTTATGAGATTAATGAATCATGTGTTGAGGCAATTTATTAGTAAATTTGTTGTTGTGTATTTTGATGATATACTGATTTATAGCTTGACACTTGATGCACACATGAGGCACTTGAGGGAAGTGTTAGATGTTTTGAGAAAGGAAAAACTATATGCCAATAGGGACAAATGCATTTTCTGTACCAATCAAATATTGTTTCTGGGTTTGTAGTGAGTGCCAAGGGCGTGCAAGTAGATGAAGAGAAAGTCAAGGCCATAAGGGATTGGCCCACTCCTAACAATGTTAGCGAGGTGAGGAGTTTTCATGGCTTGGAAAATTTTTATAGGAGGTTTGTCAAGGACTTTAACACCATATCTTCGCCATTGAATGAATTAGTGAAGAAAGATGTAGGTTATAGATGGGGTAAGGAGCAGCAAGAGGCTTTTGATAGTCTTAAGTATAAACTCACACATGCACCTATCTTGTCTTTCCCAAACTTTGAGAAATCTTTTGAGATAGAGTGTGATGCTTCTAATGTGGGCATAGGGGCTATACTTTTGCAAGAGGGTCACCCTATAGCATATTTTAGTGAAAAGTTGAAAGGGGCAGTGGGAAATTATTCCACATATGACAAGGAGTTGTATGCCCTAGTTAGAGCTTTGCAAACTTGGCAACATTACCTTCTACCTAAAGAGTTTGTAATCCATAGTGATCATGAATCCTTAAGTACCTCAAGAGTCAAGGCAAGCTAAACAAGAGACATGCCAAATGGGTAAAATTTATTGAACAATTTCCTTATGTGATTAAGCACAAGCAAGGCAAAGCTAATGTTGTAGCCGATGCCTTATCTAGGAGACATGCATTGCTTTCTATGATGGAAACTAGTTTGCTTGGGTTTGAACATGTGAAGGAATTGTATGTTAATGACTTTGATTTTGGCAAAATTTTTGTAAATTGTGAGAAAGGAGCTTTTGATGAATTCTATAGGCAAGATGGCTTTTTGTTTAAAGGAACTAGATTGTGTGCGCTTAAGAGTTCATTAAGAGAACTTTTCATTAAGGAAGCTCGTGAAGGGGGGGGTTGATGGGGCACTTTGGGGTGCAAAAGACTTTGGATGTGTTAAATGTGCATTTTTATTGGCCCCGTATGAAACATGACGTGCATGCCTTTTGTGATAAATGTTTAACTTGTAAGCAAGCTAAATCAAAGTTCATACATCATGGTTTGTACACTCTGTTACCTTTCCCTAACTCACCTTGGACCGGCATTTCCATGGATTTTGTGTTGGGTCTCCCGAGGTCCAAGGGATGAAAAGATTATGTTTTTGTTGTGGTTGACAGGTTTTCCAAGATGACACACTTCATTCCATGCCACAAGAGTGACGATGCAAGTCATGTGGCCAATTTGTTCTTCAAGGAAGTGGTGCGTCTTCATGGCATTCCAAGGAGCACTGTGTCGGATCGTTATGTCAAGTTCGTGAACCATTTTTGGAAGGTATTGTGGGGTAAGCTAGGAACCAAGCTACTTTTTCTCTACAACGTGTCATCAGCAAACGGATGGCCAAACCGAAGTGGTAAACTGAACTTTATCTCAACTCCTTAGATGCTTTGTGAGGAAAAATTTGAAAAGTTGGGAGGAGTGGATACCTCATGTGGAATTTGCTTATAATAGGGTAGTTCATTCTACTACTTGTATGTCTCTATTTGAGGTAGTCTATGATTTTAATCCTTTAACTGCTCTAGATTTAATGCCTTTGCCTAATACTGATTCTATGACTAACAAAGATGGTCTTGCCAAAGTTTCTTTGTTAGGAAATTGCATTCGGAGGTGAAGGCCAACATTGAGAAGAGGATGGAACAAGTGGCCAAAAAATGCAATCAAGGAAGGAAAAAGATGAATTTTGAACCGGACGATTGGGTTTGGGTTCACTTGAGGAAGGAAAGGTTTCCTTCACAAAGAAAATCTAAACTCTTACCTAGAGGAGATGGCCCATTTCAAGTTCTAAAGAAGATTAATGATAATGCTTATGTTATTGATTTGCCTAACCATTATGGAGTTAGTTCTAGCTTTAATGTTAGTGATTTATCTCCTTTTGATGTAGGTAACAATTTGAGGACAAATTTGCTGCAAGAAGGAGGGATTGATAGAGGACTATCCCCGGATCCTATACAAGAAGAGTTTGAGGAGGAGCCAATGCAATTCAAGGGACCTATGACAAGATCACAAAGTTGAAGCTTAGAAGATCACATCTCCAAACAGCTCATGATGCTCCAAGGCACTCTAGACATGGAAAACTTAAATATGAAGACCTAGAGTTATCTTTTTTGAAGAAAGACTTGGAACCTCTCGTTGAGCAAATATTTTGTATTTTTTGCGAGACTGCATTTTTATTTTGCGGATTAATGGGTCGTTGAGCAAAAGTTTAGGAAGAAAGCCCAAAAACGCAACTCACCTATTATGTACAGGGGAAACCTAATTGTAAGGGAAAGTTTTGATTTTGGAAAAATTAATGAAATTCCAGTTTTGAGAAGAGAGGATTCTCTTGGTTCTTAGCATAGAACTCAAATTCTTATCAAAGTTTCCAACTTTGTGGTGAATCTTCCTTGACTTATCAGTTACCCGTGACTGTGGCATTTTCCCCCATTCTTGGCTATTCCGCTTTCTTCTTGATTTTCCTTGTTCTGCTTTTATTAATATTACACTATCTATGTCAATGATAAAACCATAAAACCTCCTTTTTATTTTAATTTTTTAAGAAAAGTATAGTAAATCTTTTAATAGATTAGTCCATATATGATAAATATTATTTTTTATTGGAATTCTAGTTGTACCTTGACATGAGAAGATTTATTAGGAAATTTTTTTTATAATCTTCTAAGAAAAAATTATTTAAGTTAAATTAACTCATAAAAATTGAACAAATTTATACAAGAATGATTCTCTGTATATATAGGTTAATTTAATAAGGAGTGATCATGTGGGTGAACCGCTCAATCGCCTTGCGAG